TTCCACAGGGCGGGTGACACTACCGAGAAGGCCCTCTGCCTGGTTCCCTGTAACTTGGCTTCTCGCAGGGAGGGAACCGTCAGAAGGCCCTCAGAGCTGGACCTTAGTGTCCGGGTAGAACGATGGGGGTGGAGACGCTCCTTCAGGTATACTGGACCGAGGCCGAGAACCTACATAAGGACTCTATACGGGCTCTTGGGTACCCCAGGGAGCAGGTTTTTTTTCTTATAACACTTTGAACAAGAGACTCCCCCCCCACCAAACCCAACAACCTTTGGCCTAACCCTCCTCCATCCTCATCTACAACCAAAGCAGTGACAAGTTTCTTGTTTACTCATATTTGCCTGAACTCCTCTGCGTCTTCTGATATCCTGAGCCGCATATGTTCTGTCTGGCTCCCGGCCGGCAAATCAGGAAGGGACATTTCCACAGAATTCCACCTTTTGCTCCCACTGCCATTGTCCCCGCCCCCTCCAAATTAAAGCCCCGTTCTAACTTTACAATACAAGCTGCTTGCGTGCAGAGACCTTTTCTGTGCCCTCCAACATTTCTCCAATGAAAAATAGGAGAGTCCTTAAGAATGATGGTGATGATTTTATTATTTATACCCTGCCCAGCCTGAGGGACGCAGGTGGCGCTGTGGGTTAAAACACAGAGCCTAGGGCTTGCTGATCAGAAGGTCGGCGGTTCGAATCCCCGCAACGGGGTGAGTTCCCGTTGTTCGGTCCCAGCTCCTGCCCACCTAGCAGTTCGAAAGCACGTCAAAGTGCAAGTAGATAAATAGGTACCACTCCGGTGGGAAGGTAAACGGCGTTTCCGTGCGCTGCTCTGATTCGCCAGAAGCGGCTTAGTCATGCTGGCCACATGACCCGGAAGCTGTACGCTGGCTCCCTCGGCCAATAAAGCGAGATGAGCACCGCAACCCCAGAGTCGTCCATGACTGGACCTAATGGTCGGGGGTCCCTTACCTTTACCCTGCCCAGCCACTCTAGGAGGCTTTCAGCATATATAAAAAACATAATTAAACATTTAAAAACTTCCCTATACACAGCTGCCTTCAGATGTCTTCTAAAGGTTGTATAGTTACTTATCTTCTTGGCTCAGGGGTTGCATAACTCCATACCCTCCAACATTTCTCCGATGAAAATAGTAAAAGGTAAAGGGACCCCTGACCATTAGGTCCAGTCATGACTGACTCTGGGGTTGCGGCGCTCATCTTGCTTTATTGGCCGAGGGAGCCGGTGTACAGCTTCCGGGTCATGTGGCCAGCATGACTAAGCCGCTTCTGGCGAACCAGAGCAGCGCACGGAAACGCCGTTTACCTTCCTGCCGGAGCAGTACCTATTTATCTAGGGACGTCCAAAAGAAAAGTGGGATATTCTGAGTTCAAATCAGAAATCAGGATGGCTTCTTCTGTAAACCTGAGGCTGTCCTTGGAAAATAGGGATACTTGGAAGGTCTGCTTTTCCTTGTGTTGCCCTACAAAGAACTATGTACATTGAAATAACATCAAACGACAGAGATTAAAAAGTTGTAAGGAGAATAATGAAATCAACCATATTTTGGATAAGTATCAGTATGATAAGCTCTTGCATCAGGTCCAACTAAAACATCACGAAGCAGCTAGGAAGCTTTCAAGTTCCCTGAAAGATAAATAAAATAGCATTTGTACACACCTTTCCACCAAAACAGACTCTCAAGGCAACAGGCCAAAAATCAAAGGAATCTATAAGCAAATCTTAGAAAAAATGCAGCTTGCCTTGACTGGAAACCACTGGAGGGGAGAAAGCTCTTGTGCAGGCCGTGCAGGTATAAATAAAAAGGGAATTCGCTGGATGCCTAAGATCCAGGTTGGGGGCTAGTAGTCTTTGGTGAGAGAATTAAAACCACAAAACATGCAGCAAAGGAAAGCGTGGAAATATAGGCTGTTAGACCCTTAAAATATCCTAAGTTGCTCCCAAAGTTCCTCTTTTCCCTTAGCACAGAAAGAGACCATAGGTTTGCTAAGTGAAAAATGATTTCCTTACAAACTCTTCAAAGGTCAAATTCATGTGCTTTTCCATACAGCAGTCAGAAAACACAGGCAGCAAAACTTCGGTTTCCAAGTGGTGAGTGTTTCTAAATTGTTTGTATAGAAACGCAAAGGGCGGCTTGCTTAAGCCACAGAGTCTGAGCTTGGAACAACCAGCATAGACCTCCTTACTGGTGGGGTTCACATGGTGGAATGGAAGAACAAGGAGCTTGATAACCCTTCCTCCCAAGGTGAGGGGGTGTGGCCTAGCTAAGCCTGGCAGGACAGCTTACTCTATGGTCTTAACCCCTTCATGCATTAATTTGACTTGAGTATGCTGGTTATATGAGGCTGGTTTCCCAGAGCAGTTTAACAGTCAATCCCTCTTCCCAGGAATCAGCGGGAATTGTAGCTCTGTGAGGAGAGTAGGCTCCTTCTAACAACTCTCAGCAGTCTTAACAAACTACAGCTCCCAGGATTCTTTGGGAGAAGACATGATACTGTTTTAATGTAGTGTGCAGTTGAGGCCTTAGCTTATGGGCCTTCCAAAGAGGCAAATGCTTGCAGTTAAAGGTCTAATAATAATAATAATAATAATAATTTATTATTTATACCCCGCCCATCTGGCTGGGCTTCCCCAGCCACTTTGGGAGGCTTCCAAAAGAATATTAAAATACTGTGATACATCAAACATTAAAAGCTTCCTTAAACAGGGCTGCCTTCAGATGTCTTCTAAAAGTCAAGTAGTTGTTGTTCTCTTTGACATCTGATGGGAGGGCGTTCCACAGGGCGGGTGCCACTACCGAGAAGGCCCTCTGCCTGGTTCCCTGTAACTTGGCTTCTCGCAGTGAGGGAACCGCCAGAAGGCCCTCGGAGCTGGACCTCAGCATCCGGGCAGAACGATGGGAGTGGAGACGCTCCTTCTGATATACTGGACCGAGGCCGTATGCAAAATAGGCATGGTTAAAGTGGCCGGATTTTCTACTGACGGGGGTCGTCCGCCTTGAACGGCTACCCTGCAGCCAGAAACATAACCGTTGAAGGTTTTCCTGACCAAGGATGCAACAGTGCTAGGGAATCCAGCCAAATGGGCGGGGTATAAAATTATTATTATTATTATTATTATTATTATTATTATATATTATTATAATTTCTGCATGCATCTGTTGGAGGCAAAAGAGGCAAACCAGAAAAGCTGGCAACCTTCCCTGCAGTCTTGGCCCCGAATGTGGCCCCCAGGCATTCTGTCCAGCTCTCAAAATTCTCCTCAAGCCCCACCTTTCCCTAGCCCTGCTTAGCCCCTTCCCAAACTCCTCCCCTCCCCCAGCTAGAAACATTATTATTATTATTATTATTATTATTATTATTATTAATAATAATAATATCCCGCCCATCTGGCTGGGTTTCCCCAGCCACTCTGGGCGGCTCCCAACAGAATTAAAAGCACAATAAAACATCAAACATTAAAAACTGCCCTAAACATGTCCTTCAACTGTGACCACGAAGCCTTTTCCTCGCCTGAGGGGAGGATGGCAGACAGCCTCGCAGGGTTTCGAATTAGGCCCCAGCCCCCACCTCCCGCCTTCCCATCCCCTCACCACTCTGGCATGCAGAGACCCTCAAGTGTCCCTATTTTCCAGGGATGTCCTTGATTTAGAGAAGCCATCCCAGTTTCTGATCTGATCCCACTTTTGCTTAAGATGTCCCTATTTTCATCGGAGAAATGTTGGAGGGTATGGAGTTATCTGACCCCCTGAGCCGTCTGAAGGCAATCCTGCATAGGGAAGTTGTTTTTTAAAAAAATGTTTAATGTTTTATTATGTTTCGATATATGTTGGAAGCTGCCCAGAGTGGCTGGGGATACCCAGTCAGACGGGCAGGGTATAAATAGTAAAATTACCATTATGGAACAGGACGTCCCAATTTCCTTTTTTTATTTTTACTTTTAAAAAATATTCTTTATTATACTTTAATTTACATAGAACTTAGACAATACAATACATAAAATAAAGTGCTACCTCGGGTTAAGCACTTAATTCGTTCTGGAGGTCCGTTCTTAACCTGAAACTGTTCTTAACCTGAGGTTCCACTTTAGCTAATGAGGCCTCCTGCTGCCGCCACACGATTTCTGTTCTCATCCTGAAGCAAAGTTCTTAACCCAAGGTACTATTTCTGGGTTAGCGGAGTCTGTAACCTGAAGCGTCTGTAACCACTGTACATACAATACAAAAATTTACATATATACAAACCCAACATAAACACACTGTGAATATTTATTGCGTTGTTTTGTAATTTGTTCATCTATACGCATTTCATTTTTGTTATTTTACTTTCCTATCTTTTTTCTATACAAATTTTGCTTTACGTTTTCTCCGTTTTCAAGATCCATTCTGCGTCTGCCAGGAGATTCACATTACCCGTGTACTTTTTAAGGTGTTCTTGAAATATGGCCCATTCCAATTATTCCCTTTTCGTATTGCGTTTCCTCTCAGGGACATCCCTATTTCCATCGGAGAAATGTCGGAGGGTACGCACGCGGCCCTCGGAAGCTTGCACGGGAGCGAATGCGGCCCTGGGAGGAGGAGAGAGAGAGCTGCCGCACCCCTGCTGCGGCCTGCGCAACACACCCAGTGCACAATATGCAACCGGTAAATATTCAGAGGCAGCGGGAGGTGAATAACCAGAGCACTTTTGCGTGTGTGGGGGGTGCTGAGGGTGGGTGTGCGATGCCCTGAGGCAGACGAACAAGCCTGCTCAGCGCAGGCATCAGCTTGTCCACTCCTGCTGCAAAACTCTCCCCTGTGTGTTGTGGCCAGCCCTGTGGTGTGTTGTCAAGGCCTTTCTCGCTCTCCGACGCTGTTTGTTGTTTCCTTTTCAGGGTTTTTTTTTTTCCCCTTCCACGACTCAGCCGTGCTCTTTGGCTCTCTTTATTTCTCTACCTTTCCTCCTTCCTCCCTGCTTTTCTGGGTGACGCAAGCCAGTGCCCGCTCAGAAACCTGCTAGCCTGGCTCCGAGGCTGGCACTGGGGAACTCCGGCAAAGGCTGGGCCTCGCCTTTCTCCGATTCCTTTCCTCCCCTCGACTGCCATGGAGACGCTTCCCGGGCCGTCCCGGCTGCCTCGCTGGATTTCGGCCCATCGCACCCTAGAGAAAGCTCTGCAGGGCTTGACGAAGTTGCAGCACCTGGTGGGGCAGCCTCGCCTGGGGCTCCGCAACAGCCCCCCTCACCTGCCCTACCTCCTGCCCCAGACGCACCAGCACCTGAGGCTTGTTCGGGAACACTATGGGGCAGGTTTGGCCCAGCTCTGGGAAGAAACCTACTTTCGGGTCTTCCTCGCCAACCTGCTGGAGAAGATCAAGCAAGCCACCAGGCTCTTCAAGAGGGAGAAGGAGCAAATCTTCCAGGAGGGCTCGGCTGCCAGGTAAACGTCAAGAAACGGGTCAAATCTTTGCACGTTAAAGAGGGCGAATAGTAAAATCATAGGACTGTAGCGTTGGAAGGGACCACAAGCCTCATCTCGTCCAAACCCCTGCAACGCAGGAATTTTTTGCTAAATGTGGGGCTAGGGCCCACGACCCTGACATTGAGAGTCTCACGCTTTGCCAATAGAACTATCCTAGGTTCTGCAAAATCTTGCTAGGCTGCCCCCATTTTCTGGGACAAGGGTGGTCGCCAGTGCTGGATTTGCGAGCGAGCGAAACTCTATGATGCTTTAGGGCCTCCGGTTATGCAGGGTCTCTAAAACAACACAATAATCAGCTAAGTTTTCAAATATTGCAGGCTATCCAAGTGTCTCTATTTTCCAGGGACTGTCCCAGATTTAGATTTAGTCCCAGGTTTCTGATTTGACCCCGGAATGTCCCGCTTTTCCTTAGGACGTCCCTATTTTCATCGGAGAAATGTTGGAAGGTATGAAGTTATGTGACCCCCCCAGGCAAGGAGATAAGTAAATATACAACTTTTAGAACTTTTAGAAGACATCTGAAGGCAGTCCTGTATAGGGAAGGTTTTTTAATGTTTTGTTATGTTTTCATATATGTTGGAAGCCACCCAGAGCGCCTGGGGCAACCCAGTCAGATGGGCAGAGTATAAATGTTGTTGTTGTTGTTGAATAGGATGTCCCTGTTTTCATCAGAGAAAGCTTGGAGGGTATGGTGCTACACAATTATGTTTCAGCCGGCTTGTGAGCTTGCAAATGCGAAAGTTCATTATTTCTGTTTTCTGACAGAATAGCACACATTTTGGGGAAATAGTTAGTGCTGTGGGGTCCCTCCAATTTGACAAAGCTAAAGACCACCACCCCAAAGTATGGATTAATCTGGCATTTCTGAACTGCAGCTCCCATCAGCACCAGCCAGCATGCCCAATGGTCAGGGATGGCGGCGGCTGTCATTCAGCAACATCTAGCGATCACCCCAGTGGCTCCCCCAGATTTAGGTGCAAGGGCACGCTTTTCGCCTCCCTTCCTTCCCAGGTTGCAAGCATGCTGGTGGAAGGCTGCACCTGTTAGGTTTCTGCCTGGCTAAAGCCCAAGATTCTGGCCAGGCGGAGTTTTACAAACTAGCAACCCTGCTGGTGCTCTGGGATAAGGCAACACTATTGCCAGCTTCTTTCGTGGCAAAAACCCTATTAAATAACAACCTGGTTGTGGCTCAATAGGTAGAGCATGAGACTCTTAATCTCAAGATTGTGGGTTCGAGCCCCACGTTGGGCGAAAGATTCCTGCATTGCACGGGGTTAGACTAGATGACCCTCGTGGTCCCTTCCAACTCTACAATTCTTGTATTCTACTGAACAATATGACCAGGGCAGTTTGTTCCAAGCAGCACAAGTTCAAGAAAAAGCTGCATCTGTTGGATTTCTGCCTGCCACACGGCAGCTGTTAAGGGAAACAGAGTTTCTGCCATGGTAAAACATGGGCAATTTTTTTTGCTAGTAATAATTATTACATTTATTACCTTCCCTTCACCAGCAGCTCCCAGGTGGGATACAGCAATTTAAAATTAAAAACGCTTAAAGCAGATTGCAATCACGGGAATAGGGTGGGCCTTGAAAGCACATATCTCAGGTGTGAAGCTCCTGGATTTAAAGTTGCAATAAGGGCTGTGGTTAGTTTAAAATCAAGTACACCTCGAAAGCTGGGATAGATCAATATCATTTAGTCCCTGGGGCTCTCTTAGGCTGTGAAACATTGTGAGCAGAGGTGGCACATTTCTGTGCCTACATAGAAGACATTTTTGAACACCAGGTCAGGAGAATCTGGACTGCGCCTGTAAATCCTGAGAAGGCAGAACAGAAGGGAATCTTGGACCTATGAGCCTTATATGCAAGAAGGAGTGGAGGAGTGGTGGTTTTTTGTTTTATATTATTCACTGAAAAACAAGAAAAGTACAAAATTGTGAGTGCACAGGGTAAAGTAAGACACAAAAAAGAAGCATGAAATAGTACCCATGTAGAAAACAAAGCAGGACAACAACAAATATTGTGTACATTACCAAAAAAAGAGAGGAGAAATTCTTATTGTAGTTAACCAGACCTTATGGTATTTATAAAAACGAAATCCAAATATCGTTAAATTTGTTCATGGCATGCCTATGTTTGCATGCAACCTGTTCGTGCATAGTGAGTTTTTGTACATATCTTAAATCCAATCATTTAAGGGGAGCTGCATTTTTTAAAAATTCTCCCTCCAAGAGGGGCGCTGACGAATTTTAATTTAGATGCTTTGGCAGAAATGGCAACCAGGGTGGTGAATTGGGGGGTGGCGGGTGGCGGGCTGCGTACATTTAAATTTTCACACACACAACCAAAGAATCCTGGGAACTGCGGTTTCTTAAGGGTGCTGGGAACTGTAGTTTTTTGAGGGAGGTGAGCTACAGTTCCCATGATTCCTTTTGGAAGTGTACAGCCTCCGCCTGGTTTAACAACTTGACTGCAAAATTCGTCAGGGAATTATTTCGTGCTAAGGTGTGCAGATCACGGGACTGATAGCAGCACAGGAGCAGGTGAAAGAAAACAGAGTTGGCCATTTTTTCCCCACCCATCCACCTGCGGCCTCAGGGAGCTCTGTTTCCTCATTTATCAGCCGGTTGCTTAGTAACCAGGGCCTCTCCCCTCCTGTTTTATAAGGCCACAATTGGACCTTATGAATAAAAGTTTCTTGCTGCCTTTTGAACCCATGACCTGCAGCCTTTTGATCTACAGCAATCTGCAGATAATGTCCCTTTGTCTCATTCCCTCATGGCAGCCTGCTGTTAAAGGAACAGGAGCAGGCCAGCCCTGGCTTTTTTCCTGGCCGTTCGGCAACCCTGTTTGGACCCTGCTGAAGCCACCCACCCAGCCTTTGCCACCGCAACATAAACCTAATGCACAAGCCCCCAGAGGCATCGAGGAGGAAAGCGCTTCACCTGTTATATTTCTGCCTGTTCTGCTGTTAAACGACAACCCATATATTTCCCCACATTTCCCCCCTGTCCCCCGCAAAAAAACAAGCCCTAATGCCTGACTGCAAGGTTGCTCCTTCTGTCCTGGCCGGGGCTTTGACAGCTGCACAGTTGAAATCCAACAGGTGAAGCTTTGCTGTCGTGAAACCCGAAGGGAAATCCGTTCAAAGCCCGTGCTGTTGAATTTTATTATTAGCAACATGCGGCTGATTGCTGCACGGTGTGGTTTTTATGAATGGCGTATTTCTGAACGGCTTTCAAGACTATGAGTCAAAGGGGGGCAACTGGAATCATAAAACTACAGAGCGGGAAGGGACCCCAAGGGTCATCTAGTCCAACCCCCTGCAATGCAGGAATATCGACTGAAGTATGCATGAGAGGTGGCCATCCAGACTCTGCTTACAAACCTCCAGTGAAGGAGAGCCCACAACCGCCAACATTTATTTCAGATAAATTACAGTGGTACCTCGGGTTACAGACGCTTCAGGTTACAGTGGTGCCTCGCAAGACGAAATTAATCCGTTCCACGAGTCTCTTCGTCTTGCGGTTTTTTCGTCTTGCGAAGCACGGCTATTAGTGGCTTAGCGGCTATTAACGGCTTAGCGGCTTTAAGAAAAAGGAAACAAACTCACAAGAACTCGCAAGACATTTCGTCTTGCGAAGCAAGCCCATAGGGAAATTCGTCTTGCGGAACGACTCAAAAAACGCAAAACCCTTTCGTCTAGCGAGTTTTTCGTCTTGCGAGGCATTCGTCTTGCGGGGCACCAATGTACAGACTCCGCTAACCTAGAAATAGTACCTTGGATTAAGAACTTTGCTTCAGGATGAGAACAGAAATCGTGTGGCGGCAGCAGGAGGCCCCATTAGCTAAAGTGGTACCTCAGGTTAAGAATAGTTTCAGGTTAAGAACGGACCTCCAGAACGAATTAAGTTCTTAACCTGAGGTACCGCTGTATTGTGAGAAGCAGGAAACGGCTTTATATTTCACACCTGCTGTGCCGATTCTTCGTTGTGTTGTGTGTGCTTGTAAAAATTGCCTCCCCGGGCACCACTGGTAAATGATTATCATTTATGCCTACAGCTAAGGCCAGTTGTGTGTGATTGATTGACTGGCTGGTCGGCCTTATCCACTTGCCTTCTCTTGCTGCAGGAGGAATCTCACCAAGCTGTCCCTGATCTTCAGCCACATGTTGGCTGAACTGCAGGCTCTGTTCCCTGATGGACAAGACCGCGGCAGCACCTACCAGCTCAGCAAGCCCGAGGCCCAGACCTTCTGGAGGGAGACGTGGGGTTCAAGGTAGGACCCTCACTGCAGGTCACTCGGGCTTGGTACAACAGCACACCCAAACATCCTACTCTTTCTACTTCAACACACCCGTGCCAGATTTGAAAAGGTAAAGGGACCCCCGACCATTAGGTCCAGTCGTGGCCGACTCTGGGGTTGCGGCGCTCACCTCGCTTTACTGGCTGAGGGAGCCGGCGTACAGCTTCCGGGTCATGTGGCCAGCATGACTAAGCCGCTTCTGGCGAACCAGAGCAGCGCACAGAAACCCCGTTTACCTTCCCGCTGGAGTGGTACCTATTTATCTACTTGCACTTTGACATGCTTTCAAACTGCTAGGTTGGCAGGAGCAGGGAACCGAACAACAGGAGCTCACCTCGTCACGGGGATTCGAACTGCCGACCTTCTGATCGGCAAGTCCTAGGCTCTGTAGTTTAACCCACAGCGCCACCCGTATAAGCTAAACAAGCTATAGCTTAGGGCCCCACTTTCTTGGGGGGGGGGCAAAAATTAAAGGGGAAAAAACCTGGATGTACATTTCCAAAATATAAGAGAAAAAAATGAAATAAAATAAAACCTACATACAGCAACATTTTTTTGTGTTGTGTAGGCTCCTACGACGTAAGTCATAGGCCCCGCCTGCTAGCCTGATCCCTAAAATATCACTGGTTTGCTCATTTCTATATATAGGGCGCCTACATTCTGCTATTTATAATTAGTAGTAGCCCTAAACGGCCTCGGCTCAGTATACCTGAAGGAGCGTCTCCACCCCCATCGTTCTGCCCGGACGCTGAGGTCCAGCACTGAGGGCCTTCTGGCGGTTCCCTCATTGCGAGAAGCAAAGCTACAGGGAACCAGGCAGAGGGCCTTCTCGGTAGTGGCGCCCGCCCTGTGGAACACCCTCCCACCAGATGTCAAAGCGATAAATAACTACCTGACATTCAGAAGACATCTTAAGGCAGCCCTGTTCAGGGAAGTTTTTAATCTGTGATATTTTAGTGTATTTTTGGTTTCTATGGAAGCCGCCCAGAGTGGCTGGGGAAACCCAGCCAGATGGGCGGGGTACAAATAAATTATTATTATTATTATTATTATTATTATTTGCACCATATATTTACACCTATTAGTTTTTCATGTTATAGCAAGTTTCTGGAGACTAGATTGTAAGTCTTTGTAAATTGTGTTTCTAAAGGAACATTTGTTATTGCCAATGATTGTTTTGAATAAAAATCATTTTAAGTTAGAGTTTAATAATTATTTCACTATTAATAGACTTCTTCGTAATTGTATTTCACTATTAATATACTGGGACGCGGGTGGTGCTGTGGTCTAAACCACAGAGCCTAGGGTTTGCCGATCAGAAGGTCGGCGGTTTGAATGCCTGTGATGGGGTGAGCTTCCGTTGCTCGGTCCCTGCTCCTGCAGTCATGCTGGCCACATGACCCGGAAGCTGTACGCTGGCTCCCTCAGCCAATAAAGCGAGATGAGCGCCGCAACCCCAGAGTCGTCCGCAACTGGACCTAATGGTCAGTGGTCCCTTTACCTTTACCTTTATATTGCAGAATATATCTGCAAACAAACCCAACAACTGAGCAATATGGAGCAGTGCCGGATTTACCGGATTTTTCGCACCATAGGGCGCACCTAGTTTTTAGAGGAGGAAAACACACAAAAAAATATTCTGAATCAAATGTTGCACTAAACTATTTAAAGCAGCAAAGCGGGCGGCTCCTGTCCGCTTTGCTGCTTTAAATCGAGCCTCAGAGGAGGGTAGGAAGGGGAACCATGGCTTATCTAAGTCCAGTTAATAATGCTGAGCCTGACTTATGGCCATCGAGATTAGCCTGGCCGTCTCAGTGGAAATCTGGGGATGCTGAGGTGGACTTTCCAGTGGTCAAAGTGTGGTTGTGTCTTCCTGCCCGGCATCTATTTCCTGCCCTCTTTCTCCCCTGCACCCCGCACCCTGCTTCGAGGGAAGGAAGCGGAGCCATGGATCCTCTGCTCGCAACTGCAGTGGATTCCATCCACTTTGAAGCAGGAAAGTGGGAGAGGAGCTGCTTACACGAGTGTAAGCTGCTCCCCTCCCACTTTGCTGCTTCAAAGGGAGCCCAGGAGGAGGGAATCCGCTGCAGCTTCCCCCACCTCCCGGAGAGCCCGCAGAAGCCGCCAGCTCTTTAAAGGGGCTGCGCGGCTTCTCCTGGCTTTTCTGGGAGGTGGGAGAAGGGACTGATGCAGCCAGTCAGTCCCTTCTCCCTCCTGGGGAAAAGCCCGCAAGAGCGCACGAAGCTTGTGTGCGGCTCTTGGGGGCTTTTCCCGCCTGCCTCCCCCTTGCATTCGCTCCATAGGACGCACACACATTTTCCCTTGCTTTTTAGGAGGGAAAAAGTTCGTCCTATAGAGTGAAAAATACGGTATGTATAGGCTAAGTAGGCTGAAGCCTAGGGTCTCTAAATCTAGGGGGCCTCCCCAGCCTGACCACCCCCCAGCGGGCAGTCTCCCCTCACCCCAAATTGCAAACCCAAGACTTCATGCAAGGGCAGGGCAACTCAGGCCCAGCAACTTTGAGACTGGGGGCTCCCCCCCCCAAAGAATCCTGGGAGCTGTAGTTCCTTAAGGGCTCTGGGAGTTTTTAGCCTTTCTCAACCTGAGGGTCCCCAGATTTTGTTGGACTACAACTCCCATCCTCTGTAGCTGGCAAGGCCAGATGATGGCAAGGCCAGGGATGATGGGAGTTGTAGTCCAACAACATCTGGGGACCCACAGGTTGAGAAGCGCTGCTTTAGGAGAACCCCGGTTCCCCTCACAGACCTACAGTTCCCAGAGTTTCCTTGTGAGGAGGGATTGAATGCTAAACCACTCTGGGGATTGTAGCTCCCTCCACAGTCCGTGGCTCCCAGAATTCTTTGGGGGAAGCCATGTCTACAAATGTGGCTTCGTAGTGCTTCGAATGAATGGCTTTTTATTCATTGTCTTGCTACCCCTGCTTGCCCTCGTCTGCGCATGTTCCAATTGGCCAGTGACCCTCCTTACTCTGAATTTGGCATCACCCTTCTGTTTCTCTGCAGGAGCCTCGTATCCTGGTCTGAATTTCGGGAAGGACTCGATCGGGTCCACCCTGTGGATCCCGGCCCAATGGCCTTAGCCCTGAGATCCACCATCGACCTCACCTGCAACGGGCACATCTCCGTATTCGAGTTTGACATTTTCACCCGCCTCTTTCAGGTACACCTGGGGAGTTGGTGGGACCCTGGAGTTGGTTTTAACCCTGAAAACGAAACGTCTTGCCCTCTTCACCTTCAAAAGAAGCAAAATCGGAATACTTGGGGAGGGAAAACGGAAAACTGTTTATTTTATATTTATTTACTGTTTTGTCAAAATACAAAATCAAACGCAAAACGGAATCATCATTTTGCGAAATATCTTTTTTTATAACATTTTATTAAATTTCCAAAAATAAAAGCAATAAAAAACCCAATAATAATATTCACAATTAACAATTTCAACCATAAATCTTAATTGACTTCCCTCCACTCCCCCTCCTGGTTCCATTATTTTACTCTTATTCATGCATGTCCTTAAAATCTTATATTCTTAATAATCTAATTTTTAAACCTTGTTCATCGTATTACAAGTGATTTTTAAAAGTTCAATTAATGTAAAAACCTATACACAAAGCTCACAAGGTTATGCTTTAAACATTTTCTTTGTTTAAAAAAAAGAAAGGAAAAAACCAATGTCCTTTTGGGTTTCATATTGTCTAATATGTCCTGCATAGTTCACTAGATTATTTTACCAGTCTTCTTTATCTTCTTTGGCTGTGGCTTCTTCCTTCTATGGGCCGGTCTTGGCCTGGCATCCACTCTCAGGTGCGGGTCATTTTGCAAAATATCGAAGCAGGGACAAAGAATTGGGTGTGGACAGCAGTAATACATTCCAGGCTTTTGATATAATAGAAAGTCTATGAAATAAAAACAAACACTCTTAACATAGATATCTGTTATCCCTCCCTGGACAGGGGGGAGGAAGTTTAACGCTGAAAATGAAACGTTTTGCTCTCCTTTGACTCCTCACATTCAAAATAAGCAACGTCATTATACTTGGGCACTAAAATGTATTTGTTTTATTTTAAAGCATTTATAAACTGCTTAGCGTTTAAAAAAACAAAACTCCAAATGGTGTACAATAGTGAAACAAAAAAAATCTTTAAAACAAAAATACAACATAAAACCAAGAAGACAATAATATAATGGTATATATATATTTTTTTTTTAAAACGCAGAATGGGAAATTAGGGGGTGCAAACACAGAAAATGGGGGCTGGTGATATGAATCAGAGGAACGCCAGGGCTAATTTTAGGAAAACTGCTCTCGGTGGTCCTATTTTATCTCCATTTCCAGTTGTCATTCAACACCCCCCGAGTTTGCTATTAGAGGGAACATGGCCCATATATTCTGTTGTGTTGCCTGTGGCCTTTCTATGTTCAGTGAGGGGAGGTGTTTTTGCTTTAAAAAACAACCTGAACGCACTTCCTCCCTGCACCTTTGCAAAATTAAACCGAGCCAAGAGATGGAAACTTTGGCTCCTCGCCCACCTCTGCTGACCCACCTCTGCTGTCACCACCCACGCATGGCAGCCTTGAGCGAGTGATGGACGCACACCAGCCACATCCTGCCCTGTGGTCAGCAGCTCTCCTTGCAAGAGGCGCGAAAAACGCAAACGGTGCACACAAGACAAAGATCTTCCATGGAGGGGTGTGGAGGAAGGGGGGGACGGATGTCGTGAAGGAGGCAGCCGGTTGTTTGTCAGGTGGAGCCGGCAGCCCTCTGACCCATTTGCAAAGCTCTCGCCGAAAGCTTCCTGCAAGTCACTTTGCCCTGCCTTCCAGATACTGTGTCCTGCATTCTGAGATGGCAAGAAAAAAGCACACCAAGAACTCAGGCCAATGTAAGCTTCAGTAGTGGGAGTGGTCCCTACTCACAAATCAATAGTCAATAGTAACAAAAATTAATCCATTCAAAAGTATCTAGGGGGGAAAAACCAATTTAAAATACAGGTTAAAATGAAATTTAAAATGCAGCCTCATTTTAAAAGTAGCCCATAGATCAAAACCATAAGGGTAGGGAAACAAAAGGGTCAGACCCAGTCCAAATCAAAGGCCAGGCGGAACAGCTCTGTCTTGCAGGCCCTGCGGAAAGATGGCAAGTCCTTCAGGGCCCTAGTCTCTTGTGACAGAGCATTCCACCACGTCGGGGCCAGTGCTGAAAAGGCCCTGGCCCTAGTTGAGACCAATTTAACCACCTTGCGACTTGGGACCTCCAAAATGTTGTCATTTGTGGACCTTAAGGTCCTCCACGGGGCATACCAGGAGAGGCGGTCCCGTATGATGCGAGTTGTAGTCCAAAAACAGCTGGAGAAACCCTGGACTAGATAGACCTTTGGTCTGATATAGGAGGACTTTTCTTATATCAGAGGTAGGGAATGTGGCCCTCCGGACCTCTTTCTCTGGCCCCCAGGGCTCTTTCAGGGCTGCTCCTCCTCCCTAGTCATACTCCCTGCTTTGCATCCTCTGTGAGTGCTTTTGCCTGTGTATGTACTGAGTTGAATAGGATCCAAAATGCAGCAGTCTGATTGGTCCTAGAACAATAGGATTCAGAATGCAGGAGTCTGATTGGTCCTAGAACAATAGGATTCAGAATGCAGCAGCCTGATTGGTCCACAGGAGCCACCCAATCCAGCTCCAGGTGGAAGTGAATCCATGACCTGATTGGCCTACAGGAGAATCCCGGAATTAGCCAATCACTGTGTAAATAATGTATATAAAGCAGATACTTTGGGGGAACTTTCATTCCTCCTCACCACTATGAACTGAATCAAAAGCATGAAATCCACTCTTGACTCCGAGTATATTTCAGCCTGCCTGGAAATGGCCCCTTAATAATACCCGGATGGAGGACTATATGTGTGTAGATGTAAGCCTACTCCAGAAGGGGAAATTTGCATCTGTTGCTCTGCCCACTTTGCCCATGGCCCCACCCACCACCGGCATATGGCCCCTGGAAGCTTTATCCAGAAGGGGATTTGGCCCTCAGGCTGAAACAGGTCCTCCACCCCCCTCTCTTACATTTATAATGGCTCCCGGCCGCTCGCTGATGCCTCTCTCTGCTCCCTCCCCTGCAGCCTTGGCCGACATTGCTCAAGAACTGGACGTACCTCGCGGTCACGCACCCAGGATACATGGCTTTCCTCACCTACGACGAAGTGAAGGCACGCCTGCAGGCTTACACCAATAAGCCCGGCAGGTAAGATGGCGCCCCCGAGTGGTTCTACCCGAGCAGGCCTCCTTGCCTCACTTAAGAACTGGTTTTCTCAAGGACCCTCCAGTTTTTATTCCGGTTCGCTTGCACAAAGTGTATACGGCGGTTAGACCAGCTCCGTTCTTTCTCAAGCCTTTGTTCCGGTTTGTTTATGGGGCAGTTATACAATAAGGAGCGTCTTTCCCGCATTCATTCCTTTTATATATATATATATATATAATTATTTATTAGTTTTTTTAACATATCATTTTCAACAGTAATTAAACATACTTTTACATATTATTCAAATTTTTGACTTCCATCAATCCTGTCTGAATATTTTCCAATCTAATCTCTCAGTGTGCATTTCTTATCTTCCCTATTACATTTCAAACTCATAACCAATATCTCTATCTTTTTCTACTCTGTAACACTTCGTATATTTCTCCTTACAAAACTTCTTGTAGTCCTACTAGCATAATTTGTTCATTACAGTTGCTCTTCAAATAATTCATATACTTCATCCAATCTTCTGTAAATCTCTGGTCCCGCAGGTTTCGAATCCTTCCTGTCATTTTGTCCAATTCTGCATAGTCCATTAATATCGTCTGCCATTCTTATTTCATCAGAATTTCTTCTTGTTTCCATTTCTGAGCTAACAATACTCTTGCTGCAGTTGTTGCATATAAAAACATTTTAACATCTTACCTATTAATGTCCTGACCTATAATACCAAGTAAAAATGCTGCTGGTTTTTTAAAAAATGTATATTTCAACATATTTCAGCATTCATTCCTGTTACGCTGGTGGGCCGAGGTGTAGTGGTCTGGGGTCATGGGAGGGCCAAAGTCCCCTTTCTATTTCTGCAGTGGGGTCCCTGCCTCTAGCTTCCTGGAGGTGCCCAGCCAGAATGAATGGGGAGATTTCCAGCCACTAAGAAGTCTTCTTGTGCTTTGTGCTGATTGGAACCAATCTGAGTGAAAGGAGATGAGTCCATAGCTGTCAACCGTCCCTTATTTGCCGGGAAAGTCCCTTATCCCAGCGCTGTGTCCCGCTGCTGTCCCTTATTGATGATGTCCCTTAAATTTCCCGGGTTTCAAAGGAAGCAGCTCCTCTCCCTCCCTCCCTGCCGGCCAGGGAGGAGGGAGGCTCCAGCTGTGTTGCTTGGCTGCGTTGCTTATCCAATAAGGAGTCTAAGAACGACTGGGGGTGGAGCTTGCATGCCTTGTGCCAATCAAATTGGCCGGGTTGCCTGGGGACTCGGCTTTGCTCAGCGCTTCCCAGCGGAGAGGTGACGGTTGTTTTCCTTGCTGCATCCCCTTTGCTGGGTTGCTGCGCTATGGGAACCACCGCTTGAGGCTTCATTTGGCTGCTGGCTGGGCTTTTTGCCTTTGGCTCGGAGGGGCTCAGAAGTTGAACATACCTGTGCTCTGAAAATCACTTAATTTGGCAGCTGATCCCTTATTTTTGAGGCTGCTGGTCCCTTATTTTCAACTCTGTAAGTTGACAGCTATGGATGAGTCGGCCATTGAGGACGGGCTCCTAGGGTCACCCTGGAGAGGAGATGCAGGAGCAACACTGAGGAGTTGTGGTTCTGTATGCTCCCAAGCTAACCGTTTAGGAACACTGGAAAACACAAGAGGTTTGGGGTTTGAGATAATGCAGAGCAAGTTCTGTCACATTGAGGAAAATGCAACTTAAGGTTTCAAGAACTCCACATTGTGCGCATTCCTGGGCTCTTTGTGGGATATTTACACAATTTGTGAGATATTGACACTATTTCCTGCTGATCGTTCATTCATCTTGCATTTTTCCTCGTTGCTTTCCTTAACCTCAAAAGTTCAGTGTTGTTTTGGGGGTTTGGGGACCGGTGGTGGTGGATTAATTGCATTGGGGCGACAGATTGCCCAAATGTGCTCTAATTGCCCAAATCTAATGTGCTCTACCCCTTCATGGATCACTGCCTTGCCGTAGCGAAGGGGCTTGAATAACTCAGAGAAGCTATGAACTATGCCGAGCAGGGCACCCAAGATGGACAGTTTTCCCAGTAGTGATGTATGGAAGTGAGAGCTGGACCATAAAGAAGGCTGATCGCTGAATAATTGATGCTTTTGAATTATGGTGCTGGAGGAGACTCTTGAGAGTCCCATGGACTGCAAGAAGATCAAACCTCTCCATTCTGAAGGAAATCAGCCGTGAGTGCTCACTGGAAGGACAGATCCTGAAGCTGAGGCTCCAATACTTTGGCTACCTCATGAGAAGAGAAGACTCCCTGGAAAAGACCCTGGTGTTAGGAAAGATTGAAGGCACAAGGAGAAGGGGACGACAGAGGACAAGATGGTTGGATAGTGTTCTGGAAGCTACCAGCATGAGTTTGACCAAACTGCGGGAGGCAGTGGAAGACAGGAGTGCCTGGCGTGCTGTGGTCCATGGGGTCACGAAGAGTCGGACACGACTAAACAACTAAACAACAACAGCAACAATGTGCTCTAATTGCCCAAATCTAAAATCCTGCCTTGCTCTGGAATCCCTTGACAGCCGAGGCACCTTCAGCGAGCAAAGGGAGGAGGACGAGGTGTGGCTGTCCAACCCCAAGCAAGGACATTACTGCTCAGTGGTTAGAGCACCTTCTTTGCAAGTCAAAAGTCCCGGGTTCAATTTGTGGCAGCTCCAGGTAGACTACTACTTGGAACACAGGAAAATTTCCTTAAATCAAATTGGAACATTGATCCATCTAGCGTTGTCTACACTGATTGGCAGCGGCTGTTTTGCATTTCATCCAGGGGCAACTCCTTATTATTATTATTATTATTATTATTATTATTACTACTACTATTATTATTCTGCCCTATACCCAGAGGTCCTCAGGGCAATTCAAAGAACAAAATCAAAATACAGAAGCCCAAAATATATAATCAAAATAAAAACAACGCCGCCCCCCCCAAAACCCACATTTTAAAAGGGCGTAGGATGTCAATCAGATCAGCCAAAGGCCTGATTAAAAAGGAACATTTTCGCCTGGCACCTAAAGGTATAAAATGAAGGCGCCATGTGAACTTCCCTGGGGAGAGCCTTCCACAGACAGGGAGCCACTGCAGAGAAGGCCCCGTTCTCGTGTTGCCACCCTCCGAACTTCTCGAGGAGGAGGCACATGAAGAAGGGCCTTGAAAGATGATCCCAGGGTCCGGGTAGGTTCATATGGAAAGAGGCGGTCCTTGAGATATTGCGGTCCTGAGCCTTTTAAGGCTTTATAGGTCAAAACCGGCACTTTGAATTGGGCCCGGAAACTAATTGGCAGCCAGTGCGGTCGGACCAGGATCGGTGTCATATGCTGAAATCTGCAAGGCAGTTGCCCTAACCACTGAGCCATGCTCCTTTCCCCCCAGAGAGGTCCTGCAGACCTTCTGCCTCACAGTTTGCGCAGCACTGAGCTAGGTGGACAAAGGCTCTGACTTGGTATCAGGGAGTTTTCTGAGGACCCCTAGCAGATGCCAGCCAACGCCCCCCCCGCCAGCTACCGCTTAAATGCTCCCAGCTAAAAATGCTTCTAGATCGCCTCCCTCTGTGAAACTCCCCAATCCACCCCCTTCCAGGTCTCTTCCACCCCAGTTTGAGGACCGCCATTCCGTTTGTGCCGCCAGTTCTTACTGCTGTATTGCCACGCTATTGACCTCTCGCTGGATCTCTCTCCATCTCAGCTATATTTTCCGCCTGAGCTGCACCCGGCTGGGCCAGTGGGCCATCGGCTACGTGACGGAAGACGGGAGCATCTTGCAAACCATCCCACAGAACAAGCCTCTCTTCCAGGCGCTGATTGACGGACGCAAGGAGGGCTTGTAGGTGATGGGGATTGGCGGTGGGGATGTGGTGGGGCCAGAGTTGCGGGTGTTCTCTGGGCGGCTTTCAACAAAATATTAAAATACAATAATCTATTAAACAAAAGCTTCACTAAACAGGGCTGCCTTCAGATGTCTTCTAAAAGTCTGGTAGTTGTTGTTCTCTTTGACATCTGATGGGAGGGCGTTCCACAGGGCGGGTGCCACTACCGAGAAGGCCCTTTGCCTGGTCCCCTGTAACTTGGCTTCTCATAGCGATGGAACCACCAGAAGGCCCTTGGCACTGGACCTCAGTGTCCGGGCAGAACAATGGGGGTGGAGACGCTCCTTCAGGTATACTAGACCGAGGCTGTTTAGGTCTTTAAAGGTCAGCACCAACACTTTGCATTGTGCTTGGAAACGTACTGGGAGCCAATGTAGGTCTTTCAAGACCGGTGTTATGTGGTCTCGGTGGCCGCTCCCAGTCACCAGTCTAGCTGCCGCCTTCTGGATTAGTTGTAGTTTCAGGGTCACCTTCAGAGGTAGCCCCACATAGAGCGCATTGCACTAGTCCAATTTATATTATTTCTTTATATTTCTATACCACCTTTCGTCCAAGAAGCAAAAAGTGTATTCATTTTTATGCAAACTCCTCCCCCATATATGTAAATTTGCAAACATGCTTCGGTGAGTAAGCTGCAGAGCAAAATTCAGATAACTGAACACATTTTTGTGTTTCGGTTCACATGGTGGTTTTTTGGAAAGGGAACTTGTTAAATTCGGCTTCAGGCAAGACCTGGATTGAATTTCTATCCCATCCCCCTTCTGCAGCTATCTGTATGCTGACGGGAAGAATGCAAATCCGGATCTGGCCGAGTTGACGGAGGTGTCATCCCAAAACCGAATCCAGGTCTCGCAAGTAAGTCTCCTTGTGCTCTTCCCCCAACCTGAGCAGGCCGTTAAGACTTTAAAATTAAGTGCTCCGAGTAGAGAGACAGCAAGGACAACAGGATAAAAAACTCATGCATGCCCACCTTCATCAAATGCCTGGTTTCCAGCACCCATATCTGCAGCTTCTAGGTGGGTGCCACCTGGGGACTCAGCTACATTAGTAAAGAAACAGCAATTTGAATGTGCTATCAACATGCAACACCAGGTGGCGCCAGAGAGCAGGAAAATTTAAAGATGTGATTTTCCATAGAGATTTTTTAAATCTTTTGTTAAAATGATCTAATTTCTGACATTTATAGCACGGGGGGGGGGGTTCCTGTGTTTAGATCCACCCAGGATAGGGGGACTTTTGGGTACTGACACCTTGTTTGTGGCCTACCACTCCCTGGAGAAATCCACCTGGCACCCCTTGATTCCTCTTTGTTTTTGCCATTTAAAATGGCAGGTTAAAACCGTTGCGTTTCGCCAGACCTTTGTGGAAAAACAATGCATGCCTATCCCTAGCTTTCCCCTCTCCCAAATGTATCCTCCGAACAGCCCTGTGAGGTAGGTTAGGCTGAGAGGCAGCAACCTGAGCTTCAGGGTTCAGTGAGGATTGGAACATGGGTCTCCGAGTGCAGTGCTCAAACCATTAAGCCACGCTGCCTCTCGTTCTCTCAAGTCGCCATCCCATGCCCCTTTCTCTGCTTTTCCCACAGGAGCAGTTTGAAGTCTACTGCCAGGTGGGCTCCACCTTCCAGCTCTGCAAGATCTGCGCCGAGAACGACAAAGATGTCCGGATCCAGCCTTGTGGGCATCTCCTCTGCCGGGGCTGCCTCAACACATGGCAGGTGAGGGCCCGATCCCTGACCTTTCCCAGGCCCCTGCCCCTTCGCCCTGCCTGGCTGGCTGGCTGGGCCTCGCTGCCTTATGCAAGCAGCTGCTTCTCTTGTGAACTAACAGCATACTGTCTCCTCACCCTTTCCTTGACCCTCAGCCACTCTTAATGCCATTCCACGTTAAGCATCACGCCACTTTTAAGAGTCTTGGCTTCCCTCCGAAGAATCTTGGGAACTGTAGTTTGTAAAAGGTGTTGAGGGTTGTTTGGAGACCCTTATTCCCCTTCCTGAAACTACAGTTCCTCAGAGTGGTTTAACAGTCGGTCCCTCTCCCCAGGGGACTCTGGGAATTTTAGTTCTGTAGGCGAATATGACAGTGTTCTTGAAGCTACGAACATGAGTTTGACCAAACTGTGGGAGGCAGTGGAAGACAGGAGTGCCTGGCGTGCTCTGGTCCAGGGGGTCACAGAGAGTCGGACATGACTAAATGACTAAAAAACAACAACAACAGGTGAGTAGGGGCCTCCTCTCAGCACCCTTAAGGTAAAGGGACCCCTGACCATTAGTTCCAGTCGTGGCCGACTCTGGGGTTGTGGCACTCATCTCGCTTTATTGGCCGAGGGAGCCGGCGTACAGCTTCCGGGTCTTGTGGCCAGCATGACTAAGCCGCTTCTGGCGAACCAGAGCAGCGCACGGAAATGCCGTTTACCTTCCCGCCGGAGCGGTACCTATTTATCTACTTGCGCTTTGATGTGCTTTCGAACTGCTAGGTTGGCAGGAGCAGGGACCAAGTAATGGGAGCTCACCCCGTCGCAGGGATTCGAACCGCTGACCTGATCGGCAAGTCCTAGGCTCTGTGGTTTAACCCACAGCGCCACCCGCGTCCCTTCTCAGCACCCTTAACAAACCTTTAAAAAATATCACTATGGGAATTGTGCTGATAGTTGTTAGGAGGCCTCCATTCCCCTCCCAGAACTACAGTTCCCAGAGTTCCCTGGGAGGAGGGACTGGCTGTTAAACCTGTCAGAGGGCAAGGTCGTTCTGTGACAAGCAAACTAAAGTTCCCAGGATTCTTTGGAGGAAGCTATGCCTTTTGAAGTGGCATAAGACTGGACGGTGTGGCTGAGCCCCTTGTTGTTGTTTTCCTTGATGTGCTCCACAAGATGAACTGTCACATCCCCAGCTAGTTCCTTCTTCCATTCCTCTGCTTCCAGCCAGCCCATAATACTGATTACATCTTGCTTAAGTGTTCATCCAGTCAGTACAGTGGTACCTTGGTTCTCAAACTTAATCCGCTCCGGAGGTCCGTTCCAAAACCAAAGCATTCCAAAACCAAGGTGCACTTTCCCATAGAAAGTAATGCAAAATGGATTAATTCATTCCAGACTTTTAAAAACAACCCCTAAAACAGCAATTTAACATGAATTTTACTCTCTGACGAGACCATTGATCAATAAAAAGGAAGCAATAAACAATGTACTGCCGTCACACAGTCCATCAATCAGTAGCTGAACTGGGTTCCACACGGTCACAAAAAGAGAGCCGCAAAAACAAAAATGCAAAATAAATAGCAGAAACACACAGACCTCAGCGTAACACTCAAAACGGAGCACGTTCGGCTTCTGAAAAAAGTTCTCAAACCTTACTTCCGGGTTTGCAGTGTTTGGGTTCCAAGTTGTTTGAGTACCAAGGCGTTTGAGAACCAAGGTACCACTGTACAAGGATGGGGAACTCCAGTTGTGGCCAGACTCCGACTCCCATCAGCCCCAGCCAGCATGGTCACTGGTCAGGGATGATGGGATCTGTAGTCCACCATCGTCTGCAGAGCTGCAGGTTCTTCATCCCTGGTTTGCTATTTCTAAATGCGTCTTCTTCATTTTATATCTCTATCTACGTATCTCCATTTTGAAATACGGCCCTGAGATTGTAATCTAACCCCCGGACCGCTCGTCAAGCTTCCATAAATCATTAAGAAAATCGTTTGAGGCTGGAGACGGCAGTACTGGGAGTTGACAAGTTCATCCGCCACGCATCTGGATTTATCAGTTCCATCAGGCTTAATGGCCCATTTGCATGAGCCAGTTCATTAGGATCTCTCTCGCTCTCTTAATTCTCCTCAGCACATTTCGGAGATAAGCTGCTCCTTATCGTTCGGCAGCATAAACCAATTCTCCAGCCCATCGTATTTTAACCAACTCGGAGACCGTGTGTCTCTTACAGTCAGGAAGTCAGATTTAAACGAGGGACGGCGTAGTTCAAATTCCCACACAACCACAAATTTTAGGTGCATGATTTGGGCATGTCGCTGCCTCCTAGCCTCACATGGGGTGATAAAAGAGAGTGGAAACCACAAACGCCATAAAGGAGAGAAAACACCCAAAAAACTCAACCCAGTGAAGACTGAGCGTGCTCAGTATTTTGTTGTTCTTTAGTCGTTTAGTTGTGTCCGACTCTTCGTGACCCCATGGACCAGAGCACGTCAGGCCCCCCTGTCTTCCACTGCCTCCCGCAGTTTGGTCAAACTCATGCTGGTAGCTTCCAGAACACAGTCCAACCATCTCATCCTCTGTCGTCCCCTTCACCTTGTGCCCTCCATCTTTCCCAACATCAGGGTCTTTTCCAGGGAGTCTTCTCTTCTCATGAGGTGGCCAAAGTCTTGGAGCCTCAGCTTCAGGATCTGTCCTTCCAGTGAGCACTCAGGGCTGACTTCCTTCAGAATGGATAGGTTTGATTCCTGCAGTCCATGGGACTCTCAAGAGTCTCCTCCAGCACCATAATTCAAAAGCATCCATTCTTCGGCGATCAGCCTTCTTTATGGTCCAGCTCTCACTTCCATACATCACTACTGGGAAAACCATAGCTTTATCTATACGGGCCTTTGTTGGCAAAGTATTTACTCAGTATTTACTGTTTATTTATTGCATATATTTCCCCACCTCTTTCTCCAAGGAGCTCAAGGGGAAACCAGACAGATGGGCGGGGTATAAATAATAAAATTATTATTATTGAGGCCCCCCTCCTCATCTAATCCCCACAACACCCTTGGCGAGGTAGGCTGGGCTGAGATAGGCAGTGGTCACCCAGTGAGCTTCATGCCCAAGTGGGGATTTGAACCCTGGTCCTTCCCAGGTCCTAGTCCGTAACCCTAACCACTACACTATGCTGGCTCTCTGTACCCTCATCAGCCAGGGAATGCTAACTTGACAGTGTAGGAATTACAACCCAAGGGAATGAAATGGAGCAATTAGAATCTGGGACAGCAGGACTCCATGCTTCAACACTTTGTTGACGTTCCCAGTTCTTAACGCTGTTCACATGTGTTGCAAAAGCACATCAGCTGCTGCGCTTTCTCCTGCCACCGTTAGGCACAAATCTTTGGAGACAAATCTGGCCGAATCGGTTCCTCTCAGTTTCTCAATTTTACAGCCTTAAATCCTGTTCCCCTCATTTCCATACCAATTCACAACTGCTTTATTTAAAACAAAAAACTCATGAAAATTCACCAGTGTTTTATGTGAAGTTCTCCAAATTTGCTTGTATGCAATTCTATGTAATATGCACATTTTCACAATGCAGCTTTCCTTAATATAATGTGGATTTTTGGGGACATTAGCTGTGATTCTTGCTAGATGGCCCTGTACATTTCCGAGCACAATTCAAAGTGTTGGTGCTGACCTTTAAAGCCCTAAACAGCCTCGGTCCAGTATACCTGAAGGAGCATCTCCACCCCCATCATTCAGCCTGGACACTGAGGTCCAGCACCGAGGGCCTTCTGGCTGTTCCTTCACTGTGAGAAGCAAGGTTGCAGGAAACCAGGCAGAGGGCCTTCTTGGTGGTGGCACCTGCCCTGTGGAATGCCCTCCCATAAGATGTCAAGGAAATAAACAACTATCTGACTTTTAGAAGACATCTGAAGGCAGCCCTGTTTAAGGAAGTTTTAATGTCTGATGTTTTATCATCTTTTTATTATTATTATCATTAATTCTGTTGGGAGCTGCCCAGAGTGGCTGGGGAAACCCAGCCAGATGGGCAGGCTATAAATAATAAATTATTATTATTATTGTTATTATTAAGCTCCCTTCCAACTCCACAACCCTATAATTCAACCATTATTTTCACTAGTATGTGCAATTTAAAAAATGAACATTATCCCAGCATTTTTGGTACACGTTACTTGGCTAGAGAAGGGCGCTGCAAAATTCAGAAAAGGGCCTGTTTCATAGGAGGTCTGTGTGTGAATTATGTAGGTTCGCCTTTAACAGCGACCTGGACAGGATTCCGCCTCCCAACTCCTCTTTTGGGAACACAGCCGCCCGTGACACCAGCCTGGCAAACTCTAAAGCAGCCTTCTCTGCCCCCAGCTCTCCGAAGCTCATACCTGCCCCTTCTGTCGCCGGGAGATCTGGGGCCACGAAGACATCCTCATTGATGCCTTCAGCTACAAAGAAGACAGTGCCAGCCTGGAGGACGAGGGGGACGAGGGGGATATGGAAGACGTGGAGGTGGTGCTTCAGGAACTGGCCATGATGCGCCAGGAGAAAAAGGTCGGTAGAAGAAGGTGCAATACCGGGCAGGGTGGAGTGGGGAGTGCAGCTTATGGGGCAAGATCTGGATTAATTCTGCCCTTCCCCTTCTGCACCAACCCTCAGCTCCAGGCAGCAAATGGTGTCTCGCCTCCGTGCGCCACCCCCAAGTTGCAAACCCCGCCAGTGCCACCTCGGCTAAACATGCAGAGGCAGAATAAGAGCCCCCTGCCCAGTCCCGACTACCAGGTGAGTGGTACCCAGTTCTTAAGTTTTGTGCTCTCTCTCTCAACACCAGAACTCAGAGGCATCTAGTGAAGCTGAATGGTGGAAGAGTCAGGATAGGCAAAAGGGCATTTCCCTTTACGCAGTGCATAGTTAAACTGCGGAACTCCAACTTGGATGGTTTGAAAAGACGATTGGGCACATTCATGGAGGAGAGAGGGCTATTGGTGGCTGGGTGGCGCTGTGGGTTAAACCACAGAGCCTAGGACTTGCTGATCAGAAGGTCGGCAGTTCGAATCCCCGCAACAGGGTGAGCTCCCGTTGCTCGGTCCCTGCTCCTGCCAACCTAGCAGTTCAAAAGCACGTCAAAGTGCAAGTAGATAAATAGGTACCTAATGGTCAGGGGTCCCTTTACCTTTAACTATGAGGGCTATGCACTTGCCTCCACAGCTGGACGCAAGCCGAAGGAGGAAACAAATCCCACGTTTTCTGGCCTTAGGTTTTTCCGTCAATTCTTCTGAATCCCAGTGGCTGGAAACCACAGGAGAGGGCTCTGGTGCTTGGATTCTGCTAACTCAGTGTTTCCCAATCTCGGGCCTCCAGCTGCTTTTTTGGACTACAATTCCTATCATCCCTGACAACTGGTCTTGCGAGCTAGGGATGATGGGAGTTGTAGTCTGAAAACAGCTGGCGACCCAAGTCTGGGAAACACTGAGCTAGAGGGTTCCCCGAAGAGAACCACTGTGAGAACGGGATGCTGGACTGGATATGCCAATTGGGTTCATCCAGCAGGCTATTCTTGCATTTTGTGTGGAGTGGGAGGTGCAGAGGATGTCCTGGACCAGGGGTCCGCAAACTAAGGTCCGCGGGCTGGATAAGGCCCATGGGACTCATTTATCTGGCCCACGGCGATCCCTGCCGCCCGCTGCCGCCACCCGCTCTTACCGGCGCTGTGCTGAGCGGCTGCCCACTTATGGGTCGGAGGAGCACCGGAAATAGTTTGTGCGCAAGTGTTATTTGCACATGCGCAAGCGTTATTTCCGGTGCACATCCGGGTCAGAGGAGGCCCGTGCACATGCGCACAAGCTATTTCCGGTGCTCCTCCAACCCGTAAGTGCGCCGGAAACAACGTGTACGCACGCATTTGGGCACGCGCTCCCCCACCCTCTGGCCCGCTGCGCAATCGGCGCTGGAGACACTGGCCCGAGGCCCGAGTTTGCTGACCCCTGTCCTGGACAGTCTGCAAAGGTTTGCTTGAATGACTTTGGTGCGTACCATCCAACCCCAGAGCCTGTCAAATGGCAGGGAGGATTCCAGTTTCTTCTTCCCCTCTGTGAGGCAGAGAGGAACAATTTACAGTGAAGAAGCACCAGGCAGGGGAGAGTTTACCCTTTCCCCACCCACCATCTCCATCCCCAAATGAGCTTTCCCTCCAACAGGGGCTTCCAGAAGCAATAACCATTCTGTGAATATGAGGGAAGAGGCCAGGAAACTGCAGGGGCAAAGCGGCAGGGAGAGGCGGGATAAGTACATCCTCCCCCTTGCTGCTTCTCCCCTGCAGATTGCACATTTGTGGCGACTGGCATTTGTTGCAACCCAGAGTGGGTGCTTCCCCCAGCACTCTCTTGCGCACCCCAGAAATGATCTCTTTCAGCTTTTTCCTTCTGGAAGAAGGTACAGGGTTATAAAGACTAGGACTAGCCGCCTGAGAAACAGTTTCTATTCAATTGCGATTTTGGTTTTAAACGCAGTGTAGGATAGTCTCTGTGGGAGTATATTGTATTTAATTATGGGGTATCAGAGTTTTTAGGGGGCTAACCAGGCTGGGATAGCTAGGATAGCAGGCTTGTTGGTTTTTGAATGTCTGATGTAGACGTTTTCAATTTCGTTGTTCTGTATGGGGCAATGACAATAAAGATTATCGTATCGTATTGTAAACTCCAGGACGTGGGATCGTAGAATTGTAGAGTTGCAAGGGACCCTAAGAGTCATCGGGTCAACTCCCCTGCAATGCAAGAATAAATGTGCCCACAAGCAGTGCCAGGTTTACGTATAAGCTAAACAAGCTATAACTTAGGGCCCCACTCTCAAGGGGGCCCCAAAAAAATTTAAAGGGGAAAAAAGCCTGGAAGTACATTTCCAAAATATAAGATAAAAAACAAATATAATAAAACCTACATACAGCAACAGTGTTTTGTGTTGCATAGGCTCCTATGATGTAAGTCATGGGCCCCACCTGCTAGCCTGCTCCCTAATATATTACTGGTTTGCTCATTTCTATATATAGGGTGCCAGTTCTGCATGGACGGGTTGCATGGCAACATGTGCAAATGGCTTTAGATACCTATTAGGTCCATAAATTACCATATAGCATATATTCAACACCAAAAGCAGCGACAATTTGTTGTTGACAAAGGACAGCTGGACATATAAAGGGCCCCATTACCTTCAGTAGCTGAGGGCCTCATCAAACCTAAATCTGGCCCTGCCTATGAGTTCCAAACATCATTGGCGGCCAGCTGATGCCAACTCTTTGACTTTCTTCCCAGGCCTCCTCCTCCGGCCACTGGATGCTTCATCGCCCCTTGCCAAGTCTCCCCCAGGGCAACCCCCCTTCAGCAGCGCCCTGGGACTCCCTGGCAACTTCGCCGTTTCCTGAGGAGGAGCAGCTGAGCTGATTGTGGCTGAGACGGCAGCGGAGACGGGTAAGAGACATCACCAGCAGATTAATCAACCAGAGACTGAAGTTGACTGACTGAGGAGGGAAGGTTAGGCCGATGGCATATGAATATCACAGGAGAATATGAGACCTGTGTGCTGAATCAAAGTTCCCCCCAGTGAAAGAAGAGCAGAATGAAAAAGGACAGTGGGAGGAGAAAGGGGGGAAGAGGGAAGGGAGAAATCTGAAAGGCCCTCTCTGCTATCGGAGCAATGTCCGTTGGTGGAAGGATGCAAGCTTCATAAGTTACACAGAGTCCTTCAGCAGAACCTGTTCCAACCAGCTATGGGTGGCCTTGGGTAAGCATCCATCTTCTGGCTTCAGCTACCTCACAGGATCATTGTGCAGCAGCTGAAATGCACCCCCAAGCTGCTTGGAGGAGGGGGTGGGAGAGTCCCACTGCAGTTTTTCAGTATATTTTTAAAAAATGCTTCCTTCGTTTGCCCCTCATCAACAACCCAGTAAGCTTGGTCAGGCTGAAAGAGAGTGACTTTGAGCTGCCAGAGGCAGGCAGGGTGCAACAAGGATCTCTACAGGGTGTGCCTGGTTTGTCCCCCACCCCCCCAGATTCTGTGCCCAGGGTCACGGGGGCCCCTCCTAGCCCCTTCACGCTACACCACTGAGATAGGGTATGTGGGTTTTATCCTCTCAACAACCCTGTGAGGTAGGTTGGGCTAAGAGATAGCCATTGGCCCGAGGTCACCAACTTAGCTTCATGACTGAGACCCCCGGGTAAAGGGTGGGATATAAATTCTAATAATAATAATAATAATAATAATAATAATAATAATAATGGCTGCTTGGGGATTTGAACCCTGGTCTCCCAGGTCCAAGTCCAACACTCTAACCACTAAGCCACGCTGGCCCTCTAGGGGGCTCCTGGCCAGGCAGCGCCTCCTTTACCCGACTCCAAAGCTTCTGCCCTCTCCAGAGCCAACAGAAGCAGCCAGAAGGCTAGATGTCACCTAACCCGTTTTTGTGTTTGCACAGCTGGTGCCATCTGCAACGCACAATCTGCTCTGCTGGAAGGTACCCCTGTCCCTCCGCCTCCGGCATCCCATCGCCAGCCTGGATTGCGTCCATTGGGGCAGCAGCCACACAAGACTGAACTTTCCATCGCACTGGTTGTCACCCACTCTGCTGCTCCCTGTTTTTCCCAGGGGGAGAGACGGGTTTGCTTCTCTGCAACTTTTTGCCTCGCAGCCTTGAACCACACGGACTCCCCCCACTAAGGATGAAGGACTGAGCCAAGTGGGTCCTCTGTATTTTTCAGCGACTCCTGGGTGCCTTTTCAGACGGTTACCGGTTTTCCCAGGAGAACGGCACAACCCGCGCAAACCACATCACACAGACTGCCACTCCTGCCAGCAGAAAATCGCTCAGCACTCAAAGCATCATTGCTGGGAAACAGCGGTTTCTCACTCCTGCTGATGCATCACAAGCACTTCCTCCTATCCTTGTGAGAATGGCAGTGGTGCTCATGCCGTGGGCTCTGACTGGACAGTGTCCATGCCGTCATTGTCACGTCCCATTCCTTGCCTAGCTGCGTCATTGTTTGGCAGGCTGCTGGTTTTTGTAAATTGCTCTGATGCCTTGTTTTTTCCTTTTGGGAGCAAACTCAGAAGGAAGGGTCCAATATTTTTTTTTCAGACCTTCTGAGGTCAGGGTTGAATCTGGCCTGTGTTACGAGTGGTAAAGAGTTAGTTTTGGTTAGCATTTCAATCTAGCTGTGTGTGCATGATGCTTTTTTTGGTTGAATGGATGCTGTGTTAGCCACATCCACAAGGTGGTGTCAACACTCAAGTGATAGAGGCAGAGAATACCACAACTTCAAGTTCAAACTTGTGTACACACACACACACACACACACACACACACACACTTGTGCACTTCTAGGGCATTTCCAGACTACTGCTGCTTCCAAGTGGGATTCATTCTCATGCCCTCAAATTCAGGTTGCACTTCTAAAGACGATTAGGCTGCTGTTTTCAGCAGACCTGCTCCCCCCAAAATCAGATTTTATTGCAATAAGGAAAATGATGGGGAAAATGTTCTTTTAAAGTGTGAGATGACGATTGCTTGACCTGACGTTGTACAAACTCCTCTCAAACCAATCAGAATGTATACTCGGTAAATATACATGTTGTCTAACCTCCTTGCAAACCTTGTGCAAACAAATCAGGATGAAAGTGTAATAAACAGGTCGCCTGGAAGCGACCAGAGTCTCCTTTCAGATTTTTAAAGCTTGCATTGTTTATTATGGGTGCTGATGGATGCAGGGATTTTGGGTGGGACCAGGGATTTTCTTACTATTTTTATTTATAAGATTTATTGGCCGCCCTTCACCATGAGGTATACATTACATGTGGGATGCTACTGTCTTAAAACGTCATAATGACAAGTCCAGGTTTGTTGTTGTTTAGTCATTTAGTCGTGTCCGACTCTTCGTGACCCCCTGCACGCCAGGCACTCCTGTCTTCCACTGCCTCCCACAGTTTGGTCAAACTCATGCTGGTAGCTTCGAGAACACTGTCCAACCATATTGTCTTCTGTTGTCCCCTTCTCCTTGTGCCCTCCATCTTTCCCAACATCAGGGTCTTTTCCAGGGAGTCTTCTCTTCTCATGAGGTGGCCAAAGTATTGGAGCCTCAGCTTCAGAATCTGTCCTTCCAGTGAGCACTCAGGGCTGATTTCCTTCAGAATGGAGAGGTTTGATCTTCTTGCAGTCCATGGGACTCTCAAGAGTCTCTTCCAGCACCATAGTTCAAAAGCATCAATTCTTTGGTGATCAGCTTTCTTTATGGTCCAGCTCTCACTTCCATACATCACTACTGGGAAAACCATAGCTTTAACAAGTCCAGGTTACATTACCTTTAAATTTCAAGTGCAGCGCTGGAAATTGCCCAAGGTTTAGGGTTTCTGCCGTTTTAAAACTGACGTCCCTGCTGTCCTTTAGCCACACATGAAAGTGGATGTTTTCATGTGAAGCTCCGCCAGCGGCCACCCCACCTCACCACCACCCCGCCCCTGGCACTACCGACGAGGAAATACTTTGTCTGCGAAATTCCTCCATCCGAGGCTGCAGGATCTGAGCCTGTCAACGAAACCATGGCCCTGAGATGTGCCCAAAATATCGGGCAGGACATCCGAAGGAGAGGGGAAGCAAAGCAAAACAAAACACTGAAAGGGCAAAAACAAATAATTTCTCACCAAAAAAGAGAAAAAGAAAAGGGGCAGTGCATTTTCCCTCATATTGCAATTTTTGCAAATGCTAGGAATATTTGCTAGGAAGAAAAAGGAAGCTGGGGACCTGGAGGTTACAGTTTGTTGGAGGGGAGATTCCACACACCCCCAATAGATCTTCAACCTGTGTTCTCCACTACCTTGACTTGTGTGGCAGTTTGCTCCTCTGGCGAGACTATTGATCTCGCTTCCCCAGGGGGAAGGAAGAGGTGGCTCGCTGGCTCCGGGTGGTTTGGTGAGATCAGCTCCTATTCCGGGAACTGTTGAGAGCACAGATCAATGCTCTGTGGTGGAATGAAGAGCTCAGGAGGCGAGCAGAATAGAATCTGCGCGAAAACAGAGGAGGCTTAGAAGAAACCCCCCTCCTCTGGACTGCCGAGGCACACAGGCAGGTGGTGGAGATGAGGTGCTATTATGACAGACGGGTTCGTGGGGTGCAACTTGCTTCCCCCCCGCCCTTTCCTTGGGGGGAATAGCAGTTGTGAACCTGTCGGAGGCTCCTATTGGGCAGTGCCCATGCCATCACCACTCGGGGCTTCTTCACAGGGCCATCCTTAATAGCTCAGTGTCTGAGTGCTGTTATTTTTGGGGGGGGTTGCCCTGGAGTTTTCCCCCGGGGAAACCCTCTCTTTTGCACTCGACTGGAGCAAACATCAATTTGGGGTTTTCCAATTTGTGGACACATGCACCCCCAAACTACGCACCTGCTCCTCCACTGTAGCTCTGTGAGGGGTAAACTACTTTTCCCAGGGGTGTTTGGGGGGGAGCAGCAGCCAATAAAGTACAGGACAGCTCTTTAGTTACCCTGTGCTCATCCTTTGTGGCCTAAGCAGAAATGATGCTAATGACATGGATGTAATTTGCAGTATATATGTTTTAAAATGTATATAGAAGTCACTGAGCTTGGGGGGGGGAGGAAGATCAGGATCCCAGTGGGCGTGGAGGGGGAGTTTAACCCTTTGCAACCCGCTGCTATGATCCCAGCAAAAGCCACCGCCACCCATTCGCCTTCTTCTCCCCACCTGCCTTTGGCGTTTTACCTGTTAATTTAATTCCATTTCTGCCCCACCTCTCATCCCAGGAGCCCAAGGCAGCAGACATGGTCTTCCCCCTCATCTCTTGATGTTCTCCTCACAACAACCATGTGAGGTAGGTCGGGCTGGAAAAGGGAATGACTGGCCCAAGGCCACCCAGCCGAATTTTGGGGCTAAGGCTGTGGGATTTGAACCCAGATCTCCCAGGTCCGACACCCCTAACAGACTGGCACTGGAGGGAGAAGCCTTGATCACTGCCGGGCTACAGATCTGCCATTTTCCTTCACAATTCCTAACTCTGTTCTCCATCTGAGGCAAACTGGGCGGCATGTGGGGGATTGAAATAGCTCCTGCCTCTTCTCCCCCATTCTGGCTCCTGCGATCTTATTTTCTTTCCATCCATCTCTCCCCTCCCCCCCGGGCATCCTACACCCACCCCCCAGACGCCACTGCGCCAGCTGTAACCACGCTCCATTTCCCATCCAATTTCCCCTCAGCGAGAGCTGGAAGCAAACAAGAGGTGGGGAAGGACATTAGGGAGGGGTAGGCGATGGATAAATCATTGAGAGGCTTCCAAAATGGCCTCCTCCCCACACAACACAAACCGCACGGGCCTGGTGCAGCTGACAGGACCAGGGAATGCATTTATCAGAAACGGGAGTCAAAATTCTCCCACCTGGGGTGAGATATGGGCTGCCACATCCCGCAGAATAAAATATGGCAAGGAACTGGGAGATAATATTGTTGGGCTATTGGGGGGGGATTATCTCCTCCCCTCCCCTGAGGAAAGCAGCCATGGCTTCCGAGCCTATTATGAATCAGGCTAGTCTTGCTGCTGCTCCCAGCATCCATAGGATTTGGTCCAGTTAGCAGGGAGAGAAGAGGCGGTTTCTACGGCAACAGATGAACTGTCTTGCTCGGACAGTTGATTTCAAGGTTGGGATGGGTGGGTGGGTGGGTGGATGGGTGGGGGTTGGGATTTGGGAGGGGGCAACATTGCCGGGAGGGACGCACCACAGATGAGACTCAGTGAGGGGAAGAGATGGGGTCTGACAGAACTGGGGAGCTGCGGGGGGGGGCAGGGAGTCAGCCATCCTAATATAGGGCACCGCCTGGGGCTACTCAATGCTTCTCTCACAAGTTCCTAGGGGAACGTCGGTCCTCACCCAGGTCTCCTTGACGCCTCAGCCAGTGGACAACATCCCAGACTCCCCTTTCCTCCTGTAAGGTGGGGAGGGGGACCTGGAGCCCCCCCCAACATCACTGAACTACATCTCCCATCATCGCATGTGGGTTAGGACTGCTAAGTCCAGCTATGACTTGGTGGTTGGTGGTAGAGGTTCCCCAGCCCTGAAGAAGAAGAAGAAGAAGAGTTTGGATTTGATATTCCGCCTTTCACTCCCTTTAAGGAGTCTCAAAGCGGCTAACATTCTCCTTTCCCTTCCTCCCCCACAACAAACACTCTGTGAGGTGAGTGGGGCTGAGAGACTTCAAAGAAGTGTGACTGGCCCAAGGTCACCCAGCAGCTGCATGTGGAGGAGCGGAGACGCGAACCCGGTTCCCCAGATTACGAGACTACCGCTCTTAACCACTACACCACACTGGCTCCCTGATGTAAAGGAAGCTTTTTGTCGCAGGCCTGTGTTAAGAGCCCGACCAGGGAACTGTATATACCATATTTTTTGCTCTATAAGACTCACTTTTTCCCTCCTAAAAAGTAAGGGGAAATGTGTGTGCATCTTATGGAGCGAATGCAGGCTGCGCAGCTATCCCAGAAGCCAGAACAGCAAGAGGGATCGCTGTACAGTGATCCCTCTTGCTGTTCTGGCTTCGAAGATTCAGAATATTTTTTTTCTTGTTTCCTCCTCCAAAAACTAGGTGCATCTTATGGTCTGGTGCGTCTTATAGAGCGAAAAATATGGTATACCCTCGTCAATCATTCCATTGCATCACCGAGTGGCAAGCCTGAATCCAGCAGCAAAGTTCTGGCTGCCTCTGCGTGCTCGCTGAACTTCGCTCACCCAATCTCCTGGAAGATGCTTTGTCCCCCAAGTTCTGGGTCGCGTGATGGCTAAGCCCCCTACTCAATCACCCCCAGGAGCCTGTCCCTCGTGGACATGCACACGAAACCCCTCTTTGTCTTTCTCTGCCGTCACACTCAGGCAGTCCCCATATGGCGCTGAAAGGCCGGATACTCACCAGCCTTAATAGGGGTTTTCTGGCTCCCTTTGGCGGATGCTGGTTTTCTCTGAGTCCATTAAATCGAGCCGGCTCATTAGCCACTCGCTGCAGCTCTTCCCCGCCTGCTGCTCTAGCAATCGGAGCAGAGCGGCCCATGTCTCTCCTTCCCCCCCCCCATGCCTTTGCTTTTAAGGGGGCGATCGAAGCTCCTCACACGTTTCCTCACTTTCTACTCAACGCAGGAAATGAGCCAAAGGAGGGAGAGGTGCTTAAGCACTCATTCCTGCAGCATGCAGCCGTGCTCACTTCCTCGAGCCAGCCAAAGCGCCCTAGGCCAGGGACGGGGAGCCATTTTCAGCCGAAATCGGAGGGCGGAACCTTTGGCACGGGGTTGTGAGGATACACATGGCAGTGTTGGGCAAAAGTAGGGAGAGCAACGGATGTCAAGTTCACCTTCTCACGGTTGGCGACTTTCTACACATGCTGAAACATTCCTGTCTATTTTCCACCCAGGCAAGCGAGAGGCCTTATCGGAGCTGAAGAGCACATTCCAGGCTGGCAAACACTCAAGGAGGGTGCGGAGGAAGGAGGGCGGGTCAGATGGGGCACCTGCAGGAATTTTTCTAGCAAGCAGCAAGATGAAGCCCTGAAAGGAGAGAGCCAGCTAGTTTCTCTCTCTCAAAGAGGAAGGAAGGAAGGAAGGAAGGAAGGAGCTGGGAATCTGGAGGTTAAGATTTATCCAGGGACAACTGCTCCTGAGTGTCTGCACTGCTGTGGACCCCCAAA